TTGATTTTTTTAATAATTAAAAAAACGTATAAAAGATATTTGTTATTAATAGTCCCTAAAAATGAAATAACATATTTCACAGACGTTTATTTCGATGCATTGGCTGTTTTTACACTACATATCAATATGTTTCAACATCGAACAAAAGACTTCAAGATATACATTAATTTAATTATTTTTTACAAATGTCTAATAACTGTTAATAATTAATTGTTCTTTTCTTAAAAATTATTTATATTTTCGGATTCTCATATGTGTATCTTATTAACCGTAATTTAATATAGATTAAATAATATTTGAATAGTGATTATACTATGCAAAAATTTGAATAAAAAATTAATTATGATTGAAATATAAAATTGAATAAAAATCAAATGCTGTCAGCATATTGATTAAATGCATTTCAATTCATTGCAAAATGACTTGACTCAATTACTATAAGTGGCTACTTCTGCGACAAATAAAATGTCATTTTAACGCCGGCAATACGTGAGTACGTGTCAATTCACACATGTGAAAAAGGTGTTTAATCTGAAAGCATGTAGAAAGCAAGCTACAACTCATGCTTTTATCCAAATGAGTGTAATTATAATTTAAATCGTTCAGCAGTATTCACATATCGCGGCTTCTCGGCTTCGCGGCACCCCTAGCGTATAACGTATAACGCGGCATCAAGCTCAGCGCGTGCATAACAGTGACCGTAGCGAGCTCAATTCGAGCACGTGTCGCGTTCAACTGTTACACTTACTTACTCACTTATTGTTAGTATTAATACCTATTCGCGCGCTACGCTACCACTCTTCATATATGTGGAAATAATAGGTAATTTGCCATTTAGAACTATCGTCGATACCAAACCATCGGGGGTTTGCAAATTCCCTAAAATATTACACGTTTTGAAAAGAGAGCAGGGATGTTAAGAAGTCAATTTTGCTAAGTATATACAGTCGGAATTTTTGAAGATTATATGATTTAAAATTAATGGTGCATGTCATCATGCCTTAAGACAAATTGCTGGAACTTCCCGTACAAAAAATATTTTTTTTTTGGAAAAGCCTAAACAGTTTTTGAAAACTAAACAATAGATTTTTGAGAATTTTGAAAACATCTGAATTTTTGAAAAATTTGAGTTTATTTCATATTTCGAACTTTTATTCAAAACTATCGTAGCTGTTTTAGAGATGAAATATCAAAGCAGTCTAACGGATAAACATTGGTACGAAAAACCCATAGAAATATAAACAAAATTTGTACTTAATCGATAAAATATCTAATAATTTAATGTGCATATGTCTAATGATCATTTCTGACTGCATTTGCATTTTTTACTTTTTATATTGGTTACCGGAAACCGCACGACCTGCCTTCCCAAAATTTTGATCAGTTCTTCGCCTCGTCAATACAAATTAAATGTTTTATAAATCATTCAAATCGGACGCTCAGTTCGTTTAAAACTTAATTACCACTTTACCAAAATATCCGTAATCCGTCTAATATCCGTAATTTATCCTACTCGGCACGTCTCCCCAATAATACAAATCGAATGTTTTTTGAATTATTCAACTCAGTTGATTCGTGTTCTCGAAATAATACACACATACATCCATTTTTTTTAACATATGCCAAAATGTTCAGAGGCTTTTGAAACGTAAAGATATATAAATATTTTCATTTTCGATTTTTTTGCCATTACTATGACTTACCCTACGGGAAGTTAAAAGACACTTTGTTAGGTTATTTTCATCACGCTATTCAGATTTTACACTTATTGTTTATTAAGAAACGATCCCTGCGCAGTTTAATCAATAATTAGAAATTTGTGATATTATAAAAAAATATCGATAATTTCTTCTATGTTTATGCATACTAAAAATGTGTTATTGAATAAATACAGAGATAGCATACCCTGAGAAGTTCAAAACTACACATGACTATTTTAATTTTCTTGGAAACGTTTGACAATTTTGTAAACGTTATGTAATTTAAAAATTAATAAACTATTGATTTTCAAAAACAAGACGAGATCAATAAAAATAGTTTAATAAATTTGTGGCTTAATATTAATAAACTTAATCTGAAAATCATTTTATTATAGTAGGGATTCCTAAGATGAGTGAAATCTGTTTTGATTTTTATTATTAACTAAAAATCAAATGCAAACTGTTTAATTTTATAAAAGATTTTTTAAAATTTCACTAGTAAAACTATAACTTTGCGGTAAAGTTTGTATTTATGAATGATATAAATACAAACTTGACAAACTTACAAAATTTGACTACAAAATTACTAAATAACTGATACACTTTAAAAAAAATACTCTGATTCAAAAACGCATGATAAAACAACATATTTATTTTTATTTACTATCGTAGCAATATAAGATAATAAAACATTTAAAATCAGTAAAGCTGATTATTTCAAAATTATAATATAGTATTTTATAAATTTTTATGAAGCGCCCAGCAAATGATATAATTTTTAACAATTACTTTTTTGTACAAACACTTTATTCTTATAATTAGCATGACCGCTTATTTGTTCATAATTTTTCTTCATAATAAAATTTATTATTATTTTTATTAATTCAATTTATAACATGAGCCATTTATTGAGTATGGGATTTATGTTATATTTATATAAAGCTAAAGATATACAATGCAACAACATACATCAGCGCGCAAGACTGTATAATTGTTGATTATAATATATTTTATTCTCACGTTTCTATAGTCTAACTACTTACTTTGATTTCATAATTAAAAAATTTTCAATTCACGACATTGTTACTTTGTGTGATAGTCAAGTACAGTGAACTAACAACATTAAAGTAACTTTGAATCCCATACGGCTGCATATTTATCAGTATACTGACGACTCATCGATCCTAGGTAATAGATTTATATAGAAGGTCGATTTATTCCACTGATTCAGTTGACAAACGTTTCACAGGTTATAACTGGACAATAAATAGTGGCGGGTCATTGCAAACTTGTGGCAACCTGGTGTTTTGATCGAGAATTACGTTCTAGGGTACAATAAGCAGTACATGATCTATGGCCACAATATTTTTCACAGGTATGTTCAGATGCAAATAGACATAGTGTGTAAAATGTAGTATCGTCTTAAATTATTCAGACAAAAGTTTAGCTTTGAGTTGCATTCGAAATTATGATAATTATGTATTCAATATCATCTGATTTATTATTAGTATAAATATTAGAAAAAATTTGAATAATTTTAAAACGCCGTTTATAGTAATAATTTATCATTTTTAGATAGTAGATATATTAGCATATTATATCATTTTAATCGTTATTAAATTATTAATAAATTAACTAACGTCAATTATTCATGTAAATTATATTTATTAGTGATTACTAAACGTGTATTCTGTGACAATCAATTGTTCGAAAATACAATTTATGTGTAAAATTAGGAATATCGCTTATACAAAATTTTACTAGTGTTTGATATTATATAATCCAAACTAGAAGTGCGTGGCATCGTGCCTTAAGGCAAATTTCTGGAACTTCCCGTACCGAAAATTAAAATTTTTAAAAAAGATTCAATATTGTTGAAAACTGAAAAATTGGGATTATTGAGAATTTAAATTTTTTTGATAAAATTGACTTTTATGGAAAATGAGATTTGTTCATAATTTGAAATGTTTTGGAAATTTTGAACTATTTTAAGGCAATCGCGCTGCGTTGGCTGCTTAGAGATGAAATATCGAAGCGCGTAAGCGTCGGGTCGTAACAGATAAACATTGGTTCAGAACCCATAGGAATGTAAACAATTTTTGTTTCTAATTATTGAAATCTCTATAAAATATCTGATAATTTGAGGTACATATGTCTAATGATCATTTTTGAGTGCTAACTGTCATTTTATTTTACATATTTATTGGATCTCCGAAACCGCTAGACTTACCTTCCTAAAAATTTTATCAGTTTTTCATTTCGTCAATACAAATAAAATGTTTCTTGAATCATTCAAATCGGGCGCTTCGTTATCTCAAAAATTGAATTACTTTTTTAGCACTTTTTGTCCCGTATCTTCGAAACGACTGGATCTGCCTTTGCCAAAATCTATCCAGCTCATCTCACTGTCAATATGATTCGAATGTTTTTTTAAATTATTCCGAGTGGAAAGGGCTAATATCTAATACGGTCATTGAAATAACAAATAGTGTAAATTCTTAGATATCTTGTTGTCAAAAAGTATAGCGGGTTATGGTGATTGATAGTACGATTAATTGCAAAACATTTGAAATAAGACAAAGTGTGATATGTTCGATGAAAGACGTTTTCTGCATGTATCAGTGATTCGGGGATTGTTGTGATTGGGGTCTTGTTTATGTTGTGACACTTGGTGACCTGGTGCGGTGTTTGTGCGTGCCATTGTCGCGGCGTGCAGTGAACTTGTCGCGTTCGTGACATGGACGCGTAGTCCCGTGCTGTTGACACGAGGTGCTCCTCGAAGGGTATAGGGATAACTGGCTACGGCTAATATAAAGAAGCGTAAGAAACAGCTGCTAAAGGCTATAAGCATCGAGTCCGAGCCATACCATCTGCTCTCGGTTCGTATTCATAGTTGGATTTGAACCGAATTCGGTTTGTGTGCGTGCATCGGTCGACTATTTCCGTGACTCCACCTTCTGCCGACTGCGGCGCTCCGTCGCATCGGCGGCGTATGGACGTATGGACGTATGGTCGTATGGTCGTATGGTGTATTTGGTGTACAATGGTGATATGGTGTTGCGTGTATCGTATGTGTGCGCCTCCGAAGACTGAAAAGCACACACAGAGACTGAAGCCACGGGCCACGGCAAGCCGGCAAGGTAGGGGGACGTCGCTCATGTCGCTCGAGAGCCAAGAGTTTACTCATCACTCGTTTGTTTGAATCAGTCTCTCGACAACTCTGTTTCACTTTACTGTTACAAACATTTTTCGTGCTTTGCGGTACGATTTGTATTGTGAGACGGATTGTTATTTTGTTGTTTTTTGATTTTTAGTTTTTAATTCTTGTTACTTCATAACTTTTGTGTCTGTACAGTTCTTAATTAGCAATAGACTGTGTTTGTGCTCATATTATATTGATTTGACGAAATCGATGACAACGTGATCATTTAGAACGAATGGATTTATGATTGTTTCTGCCACTTTCGACGTTGAGGTATTCAAACCTCGTGTGCAAAATTACTAATTATGGTTTTTGTTTTTAACAACGATCACTAGTGCTACGTTGTTAGTGCCGTACCGGAATATTGGATTACGCGTGTGGTTCAAGTCATAATATTTTTATTTGGTTCAGTTGAATTGTTTTTGTGTATCTTTGGTCCATGGAGAGACTGTGGTGCTTTTGACGATTTATTAAATAAATAGCTAAATATGACAACGACTTGGGAAATACGGTGGTTTACCACCTTGTTGGCATTCATCATATTGACAGGACATCAGGTAAGAGCTCATCAAAATACATCTCATACATCGTACGTAACTCGTAAAGCGTTCCCAAGTACTTTTAAACAACCAGTCACTTTCCCACGGTACAACTGATCTTTCAGTGCTTGTTCAACTATTACACGATATCATCAATTTCGTATATCACTTTGATAACATGCCAATATCGAGGCATATTCCAATTATTTCGTACTTATAATTTAACTAAAATCTGGATTTAATAACAATTATAATTTTTTTTTTGATAGTGTGTCTTATATGTAAATTCAAATTTTTGTATATTAATCGAATATATTGTAATGTAAATGTCTTTCAAATAAATTTATTTGATAATAATTTAATATATACGCATTTTATTTATTCTATATTTTATTGCTTATATTTCAATCAATCCGTTTACAGAAATACATTTATATATGACTTGAGAAATAATGATTTACGAATGATAAAAATAATTGTTTTATCTTATTTAAAAAATAAACATGAAATAAACGTGAAAATACACATTTATTTAATTGTTAGTGATATATGAAAACCGCTTATTTGTATTAAAATTTTTGTTTGACTTCATTTTGATTAAAATAAAATCAATTTAAATAAATTTAAAAGTTAAAATTATTTCTGATATTATACTATTTTAAATAGTATTTAATATAAACCAAAATATAATTTTGGTTTATATTAAATTAAAATAATTGTTTTGTCTTATTTAAAAAATAAACATGAAATAAACGTAAAAATACACATTTATTTAATTGTTAGTGATATATGAAAACCGCTTATTGGTATTAGAAGTTTTGTTTGACTTAATTTTTATTAAGATAAAATCAATTTAAATAATTTTAAAAGTTAAAATAATTTTGAATATTACACTACTCTAAATATTATTTAATATAAACCAAAATATAATTTATTTTAGTATGGTAGAGTTTTGGGATAGTAGTATAAAATTTCAAACGTATTAAAACTTCCGTGGAATGCATCTTCATCAGCATATAGCCATTGCATTCCATTCAGTCTTCGTTTCATTAAACTACGTGTTCTTTTAAAACATTACACAATTTCATAACAATTTATAAGCATTTACGATTTACCTATGTACTATTTGCAGAACTTAGGGACGCTTTATGACTGTTCAAAATGAAAATATGCACGATATCGCTTATATATAGCAATCGTGTTTATTTTTGTAAATTATTATGCTTGGGCTCGATTGTTTCATATTTTATGATGGGCCGCGTATATATATATATATATATATATATATATATATATATATATATATATATATATCATACATGCCTCGGTACTAGCAAAGTACAGAAGTCGTGGCAGAAATTACATAATTCTACTTACATTTTTGTTCAATAAAACTATCATTTTTCTGTTTACATCATACAAAAAAATTATATAAAAAAATGCATAGTGCTGACAAGTTAGTTGTATAAATGTTAGTGCCAAATCTCTAGTGCTGTGTACACTTCTCTATATGTAACTAACCAACGTAATATCCACTGATGATGACATTAAATTGAATGTCGAAACGTTTGGAAATAAAGATTATTTTATAAATCTTTGGCTTTTCTTTGTTTGATGTATCGCCCTCAAGAACTCACTCATATATTTCAACATCAAAATTAACTACTAAATCATATATATATATATATATATATATATATATATATATATATATATATATCGTGACATAAATAAAAAAAAGCATGTAGCAGAAACTAATACCGAGGATGATGTCGGTCATCCTTGTATGAGATGCGGGCACCAGTGTTTTGAACATTATTGGATTGATTGCAGGTGCGTTGTACCGGAGTTTTCGAGTTGCGTTTACGTTCTTTCACGAATGCGAACGGCGGCGACAGCAGGGGCGCATGCTGCAGCGGCAGGCAGGACCCGGTGACCTTACGATGCATTGGCACATGTCAGACGCGATTCCGCGTCTGTCTGAAACACTACCAAGCCGAGATCGACACCACATCAAAGTGCACCTTTGGCGATGTCATAACGCCGGTGCTCGGAGGCAACGACATCGACTTGCTTGCAGCCAATGACGAAGGATTCGTTAATCCCATAAAGTTCGACTTCGACTTTACTTGGCCGGTTAGTTTGTATATAAATTTCTATTACGACCTGTTCTGTTTTCACGATACATTTCTCTCAAACTTCATAGAAATAGTATAAATGTGTCTGATTCTGCCGCAAAATAGACCAATGTTATGGCAAGGCTATGTTACGTTCCAGGTTTCATACAGAATGCTACTAAATACTGTCAAAATGACGTTTTACACATAAAATTCAACTTCACTCATATGTTATCAAGCTTTATATCAAATATGCAGCTTGTGCATTTTTTAAGTTAGGTTTTCTATCTAAAAAGCCTGACTGCACAGCAACCACATAGGATTTGACAATTTTCAATACCACTTTATATGAAAACTGCTACATAACATAACCTTGCCATAACATTGGTCTATTTTATGGCAGAATCGACCCCATAGTCAAGTTTCGCGAAAATATTGTGAAAAAAACAGATATTAACAATTTTAAAGTTGATGATGAACTTGATTTCTATTTGTATTATCATCGTCTTAGTTTTTTATTATTATTTGGTGAATGACATTTTTAATAATATTTTTTTCATGTTCTTTGTGATTATGTTCATGTTTACATTTGATTGCTCGATTGCGTATATCAATCGATATTCTTTATTAATAATTTCTGATAATTATTACCAAAATCATTTCATTCCTTCAACATATTTTAAATACTTCTGAGAAAACTAATAAAACGGTGCGTCACTGCAGTGGCAGCATTTCCGCATAACGGAAGGAGCACATGTATGAAACATTTCAAATTGCCTACTTCCCCAATATAAATATTTCTAGTTTGAATTTTTTTTATTGATACGTATATTTTTGAAATTTCATATTTTTTCAACTGCACTTTATTACCTTTTTACGCAAATAGTAAAAAAAACATTAATCTATAACATTATGATTAGAGACAAAAAAACAACCTTAACATCATGGTAGTGGTTTTTAGATTGTACCCACAAATTTAAATAATTTTACTAATTACCAAAACAAACATCAAAGACTCGTCTAATAAACTTCCAACATTTTAAGAAGATACTTACATGTATACTAAAAACGATTTCAATTAGTAACAGGTTTGAACCTTGAACATAATTGGTTACAGTCCTTCGCATCCTTAATAGTTGCGTCTATCAAGTTTTGACTGTTTTTCGATAGTAACAAATAAATAATATCAATGCCAGTGAGTATGTGGGAAAATTTTATTAGCTCTTCAATAATTTCATTTATAGCATATTTTAATATTTATAATGGCATTATTATATTAATTATCAGTAATTCGAATTGAGTAATCTTCAACGTAATATTACTTAATAATTTTATCAATTCTTTAAAGTAAAGAATAAATACTGTTATCAGCATAAGCTCCATGAGTAAACTGGTTTGTGGCGTATTAAATAACTACTTGTAATGTCCTGAAAATGATAATGTACCTTCCGGTTGTTATTAATAATATGGTGTTATTAATGAACAAATAAAACGTAATTTACCTTTAGATGCACAATTTATAATTTTCACATATTACTTATTTCTAAAAACAATCAATCTAAGAACATAAACGATACGATATATATATATATATATATATATATATATATATATATATATATATATTTGTTTATGTAGACATTGTGAAAACCAGCTGCTAGTGTCGCCGCCGTCCGTTATTTTGCATAGAAATGTACTGATCATTGTGTAAGAATATACAATTCTATGTAAATATTAATATTCCGTATATGATATTTCGTTATCCTGGGCAGATGTTCACTTTAACAATGAATGCTATGACACAAGTCTACAACATATCGGTGTTGTTCCTATCTTGAATTTATTTTATTTAACGCTACGCACGATTATATTATAAGTGAAGTGCATTTATTTTGTGGATAAATATGATACTAGACCACAATATTAATTGGCTTCGCTTTCGATTAATATCTTTGCAATGGTGTGAGATCGAATGATAAATGAGATATTTCGTTGGTCAACTAGTATACTAGTTTAGTAGGACATCTAATATTATAATTATTAATACATTATAATTTTGTAGGCATTTATCAATTATATACCATAAATTAGAATTATTATGATAAGTATGATAATTACAATGTATTTTTTGTTTGTCTATTAAATTTATTAAATAAAACAAACGTGTCTTAAGCCAAATTGCTGGAACTTTACATACCGTAATTTAAAATTTCAAAGTTTAAAAAAAAATTGAGAACTTTGAAAAAATTAATTTTTTGAGAATTTAGAAATTTTTGAAAATATTTCACGAGTTTGTTATTTCGTCAATACAAGTAAAATATTATTTAAATCATTCAAATCGGACGTTCCATTCTCCTAAAAACTAAAATATAACTTTTGGCACCTTTTGTCCTATATCTTCAGCACGTCTACTTATCAATTTTTGTGTTTTTTGAATTATTCAAATCGATTAATCCGTGTTCTAGAAATCATCGACAAAAAATTGCATCCGCACATACATACACACACCCATTTTTTATAAGGTATGCCAACATACTCAGAAAGTTTTGAAACGTAAAAATATATAAAAAATATTTTTGATTTTTTGCGATTCAACCTACAATAATTTAAAAAATTCTAAAATAAATAATTTTAAAGGATTCGCTTTCCATGATTGTGCATGAAGCTTAATTTTTATTTAATATGACATTTTTTATTTATCTTAAAACGTGTTTGTCTTGCTTCATGTTTTGCGTTTATGCAACTACCATAAATTTCTTTTTAATGTATAATAGTCTTATATCCCATTGCGAATGGAAATATTACTGATAGCAAGATAATCAGTTACAAAGTAGAAGTTTTCAAGTAAAAGTTTACAACATGGCATAAGGGTATATAACCATATCACTTCGACGACGACATTGGACGGCAGATGTTCCTTTTCTTATACTGTCGATTAATGGCGCGTTCACAAGCTTTTTATGAAGCACAGGCGTATTTTTTTAAATTTGGACAACAATTAAAGAATACCTGGTATTATATAAAATAATAAACATAGTTAAAGTCAACCGCGTTTTTGAAGTATTTAAGCTTCAAATAAACTATTTGAATTTGATAATATTTCTGAATATTTTCATTCCATCGTATCTTTTTCGAAAAAAATCTAACCTACAGTGACTCTTCTCTGCAAGAATCCAAAAAAATCTATTGTATTCAATATTTCTAAACCTCGCACATAGAAGGGAATCCTATTCTTACAAAATTGCCTTTCGCCTAGGCATAACGTCACAACATGCAACTAAAAATTTATTCTTTTACTACCAGTACCTGAGAATATGCCATCGATAAAGTCGAAGGAGTATGCTCTTCGCAATTTTTACTTTAAATTATGTTCGAAGAAGAAGATAATTTCATTAATGCTACTAAATCATTCGAAACATAACTTTATCTTTGTTTTTTTTAAGAATGAACATTATTCTGATACCAGCAGCAATTTTTATAATGTATTCAGATGTATTATGGGGCGCTCTAAGCTTTCACACGGTAGTTGATGTTCATGCAATATGCAATGATGAGCAGCATGTTTGAACAAAATAAAGTTCTTATTACGAGTAAAACTCTACGACAAATATTTAAAATAAATATGTACAATTGAAAAATACACATTATAAAATTATAAAAATATATAAGCATATACCAGTACAGCGTGATTATTTATACATGCGCATGTGCGTGTAATATAGAAGAATGTATGCATATGTATAATCAAATAGTGTATGGCAATAAAGCGTATTTTTAGATTGAAGACGAACGCTGCATCTGAGTTTTTATTTTTTTCTGTATTTACACTAGAAATACCAAGAACTTGTGCATAAATTCTGCACTTGTAGCATCCTAAAAAGACATTAACAATGAAAAAATGATGATTTAAACTACATTTAATTCGAACGTCGGACTTTGCAGCTTTTTAGCTTAATATAATTCACCAGTATTTTATAGTAATTATATTTGGCAATTACATATTATTACTAGAAAGTGATAGTTATGTTTATTTCTTTTATTATATGTTATTAATATTAACGTATCAACTTGTTTTCTTTATATTCTAATCTATCTTATTTTTATTTCAGGGATTCTTTTCTTTGATAATCGAAGCTTTGCACTACAATAATTCCACTTCAACGAATGGTAAGTTTTAATTATACATGCGAATGATTTTATAATGTAGGTATTATAGGCATAATTTGTCAGCACAGTTAAACATTCATAGTTCAAATTAAAATTTATTTCCTCATGTTGTTAAACATTTATATCAACCATCATATCAATGATTTAATAATATTTGTGGCTAATGTTTTAGTAATAATTTAATTTAATTATAATATTGATATAATATGTATCAATACATAACAACATAGTTATCAGTTGATCAGCGAAAATAATCGTTAAGTGTAAATATTTTCTTTTTTTTCTAAACTATGAAACATACCTTGTCATTACCTCGTATAAATTATCACAATATGTGGAATTATTTCAAAACCTTTGTCATTTAACAATTATGAACAGTGCATAATTGATAGCAACAGTTGTAAGTAAGTTGACTTTATCCATCTATTTTCAAAACATGCTCAAGAAGGTTTTTTTTATTTATCCACATGAAAAATGTTAAACTTTTGGACACGATTTGAGTATGGTGCTAGTTAACAAGCAGATCAACCTTTAAACTGCTTTTTGCAAAAATTCTAAAAAAGAACTAAGGTGATTTTATGGGTGAAAATGTTTGAAAGCGCATTTGATTCGTTTTCTTTTTTAAGTTACAGTCAATAATATAAGAAACGATTTATTTTGATTTTTTATATACAGTTTTTAAAAGTGAATTTCCGATACCTTTACGATATGAATTGAATTCATATTTATCGTTAGCCTGTTCATATCTCCATTGGTAATATTAAACAAACACATAGCGCTGGTCCGATTATTTATAGATTACAAGTTTTTCTTTTTTGTCAAAGCGATTGACTTTATTATGATTAACAAGAAAGAATGTTTGATTGTTTATGTATGTTTATACGTTTTTATTTATTTTGATAAGTCTTCGCACCTGTCAAGCATCGCTTCCGCGGCCGGTCGATTGTATATTATTAGATAAGGTCGTACCCCTTGAAGATAGAGTTGTTCTTCCTGTATTAAATGTGCACAGGCCAACCGTCAGTGATTTTGAACAGGAATAAGTCGAACTTGTGAATGTTTGGCTTCCTGTTTTTTATGATAACGATGTTGATGTCTATACTTGAAATGATGAATATTCACTCATATGTAAAATTATAAACATAAGGTTTTTGGATAACTTTCAACCAGTAAAATAAACTTATTTTTATAATCACTACCATATCAGAATATATATATATATGGAATAGTGCCTAAGATTGTATAGCTGCGATACCTAGAGGCACAATAGCACAATACTGAAACATAAATTCGTTGTTCGTCATTCTTTCCAAGGTATGCTTTTTTCGATGAATAGTTTTACTTCTCAAAAATGTTCCAACTAATAGTGAACCGGTACGTGTGTACTGGTGCAGAACACCCTTGCGTCGTTCAGTCTGATAGTTATTCGTTTTTTAAACAAAAACAGCGCACATCCGACAATTTGGAAATTATAGTACGACAAAAAAGTAAATGGAATTAGACCAAATTTCGCGCGATAATTATCCATAAATCAATTGGAACGAACTATCAATGAATTAGTCAGAAGAGTTAACGTCAGTTGATTCGTCAATGCTATTTACTACTAAATAAAAGATTTTTTCATCAATATGATTACTTACCATACTATGCACGTTTATTGAAAGAACTGAAATCATATAAATTACGCCTGACATTATGTTTGGCATATGTGTATCAAGTAGCGATAGAGAGAGAAAGAGAGTAGTACAGAGTTCTTTCCGTATAAAAATTTAAAATTTAATTCTTCTATTTATAATTTTGAAACAATGTTTTACAAATACATAACTTGTTTATATAATAAATAATTTGTTTGTACATAAAAAAACAAACATTCATATTTCATCACTTACGAGTTAAAAAAGTAAATATTTTTTAAAACTATGAAGAGCAAAAGAAAAATATAACTACGTTACTAGAGACTATAGCATTTATATATGTATACTTATTTTACATTTCAAGAGTTAGTTTAAAGATTATTAAGAATGTTTTCAGACGGAAGTATTGTAGCAGACATATAAAATTCTGAGCTCGTACAAGAACAAGAAACTTTGTGAAATTAGGAATTTATGCTTATGCGCTTTCTTAATAAACCATCACAAGTAATACATCGACGTTAGATTTCTTCAGCGCATTCTAGATTCATTTACACCTATGCCAAGGGGGGAGTGCATTGTTAAAAACTTTTATTTATTGTTAATACTATATACCTGAAATAATTGAATAGAATCTTTCTACGACAGTTTTGGGCAAACCAGTCTGAATAAAGCAAAATGCGCATGCGGTGCGGATACCTATTATGACCGAACTTACCATTACCAAATACCATACATTTTGTAAGAGAAAAAATAAAAATTTTCGTATTGCCGTCATTATATAATTAAACACGAACTCAAATTATTCTATTATGCTTCTCTCCTCAAGTTGGAAAATTTGCTCGTGCGCATTGGCAAATGTTGAATGTCGAGCTTTTATAAATGGCCGTTAAATTGTATTTCTCTATCATAACTGATTTAGAAGTAAACAGTGCTCACTACAAAATTTATTGTCATTTAACTTTTACATTGAGCGCTCTTTTAATATATCCGTTCGTAGTCATCGCCTACGTTCACTTTTGTTGAAATATAAAAATTTAAGGAAAAATAGAGATCAATAGTATACCTGGTTTTCGAGAATACGTTGAATTTTCAGATTTTAATTTTAAAGAATTTTCACTTTTATGATCGATATCAGTACTGCAAAAATGTCTGTTCCTAGCAATGTAACTTCAAGCCTAGTGCTGCAAGTCACGAACTCTGACCGCAAGGCGATCGGAGGCCTTGATGATCCGGTTGATTATAATGGACATCAAGTTAGATTCTTTTCAATTTACATGTATAATTTATCAGTATATGAAGAATATAATATTATAATAATTATTATCTTTATATATACATACATATATATTAGATGGTAGAGTATTGGATTTGTAAATATGTACATATATATGTATATATATATATATATATATATATATATATATATATATATATATATACAATATTCAATACTTTTTCATGTGCTTGTGATGACCCCTAACGTTCGGCCACCCACAAGTTTTGTTTGCTGTTTTTTACCTTCATATTTTTAATCTACTTCTAGACTTCATAGTTAAATGAACCTAAATAATAAGCGCATTCACTGCACAATCTAACCAATACATACTTCTTCATTGATGCGTGCACAATCATGAGCACTCTGGGATATACTAGAGTGAGAATTTTCAACAGGAACACAAATGATATCATTAAAACAAGCCGGGGGCGACATCTCGATTTCGACAGCACAATTCCTTAAAAAGAATAATTGTACTAAAAATGTTGATGCTACAGTAAGATTATGCAATAAGTTCGATCAGCGGTATGATTAGGGCGTGTACCCAATGTACGCCCTCTGTCTTGTGCAGTGAATCGGCAGTGAATATTGAAGGTGCGCCCGATTATGTTATAGAAAGTTGATGAGAACATTGTGTGATTCTAAGTACTGACGGTGATGAGATGCATTTGCATTCATCTTTTCCCAAAACCCTCGCATTTAATAATGATACTAACAAAATATCAGTTTTCAGTTGGCATCACATGTGCCGCTTAACGCATTCTTATACTTTCTTTTCGTTCATGTTAACTTGGCAAAACTAATGTATTTCTTAAGAAATATTTAGTTCGATAAGATATACAGAATGATTGGGAGTATGGCGAAACGAACCGACCGAGTGTTCGGTTGTTATTTAACAGCTTTTTTAATTGTAATGATCAGTAGAAACATGAATACGTCCAATATGTGCATTCATTCAATGCCACATTTACCGTCCATACCACTTTTCTAGTTATTTTCTATTAGATAGTTATTAGCTACTTAAAAAAGTTGGTGTATTGATTATATAAATTATTGTTAGTCAATTACCTAATTTAACTTTATTTGTTTATTTTATTATTTAAAAACGGTGGTTATTAAATATTTTCTTATTACAGATAAGATGGGTACCTTGATCGCACGGTTTCCGCGCCAAAGGCTACTGGACGTGTCCGCGAATTGGACTCATGAGGAACAAAGCACAAGCAATGCAAGTCTTCGGTTCGAATATCGAGTGACCTGCGCGCCCCATTATTACGGCAACGGCTGCGCGGAGCTTTGCCGGCCGCGAGATGACAACTTCGGACACTTCACATGCTCCAGCACCGGACATCGCGTATGCTTAAGCGGCTGGCAAGGGGATTACTGCACGAAACGTAAGTCTTTATTAATCATTTGGAAAATGATTATTATTTTGTTCGACTTTTATCAAAACGCCTGATGATTCAAGCTCTATATAGTTAAAAATACTATTACATCTGAATCGTTTTAAAAACTAATAGTAAATAATTTAACATATATCTTGCGTTGGAAACTAATTATTGATATTCGAATAGTATCTTTGGCCTATATATATTATGGCATCTTATATTACTTGGCAATGTGGCTTGTGGTACGAAGGTATATGAAATAGGAAATATCAATGCCTTTTTAATAAAACGTTGCGTTCGAAATATATAAATGATTACTAAACAGAGTTTTCGTAGTTATTTCTGATTTATTCGTATTATTTGATATTCATTCCAAACATTTTCATAATAAACTGCACCCGACATGTTTAGATCAATCAATCAGACAAGTTTAAGTATTTAGGGGTGTTTTTAAACTTTATTTTTAATGAAGATAACGCAAAATATTCTTTTGCGTCGTTCTTGTCTGTTTGAGTATATATGAATGAATGAATTAAGTGCTGAGCGGAGATTCGCAAATTGGTCCTTTTTTATTTTTTTATTAAAAATATGTCGTATATGACATAGTTATTTTTATATTGTAATGTTTATGATAATTTGCAAAATTATGGTCCATCTGGAAAATATTCTGGAAAGTATTGTGTAATATATAATAATATATTTTTTATTTAATTCGAATTAGTATTTTGTGTGAAAGCTAATTTATAGTAATGTGTGCAAGAAAATTTGAATTTTGCGACTTTCAAAATTCATACTTTTTGCCACAGGAAGACAATATGATTTGTGAGCGAGCACGTGTGAACTTCTATGAATGCGTAGATGCGTATGTAGAATCCCTTACACACGCGTGCAGGTATTACGCATATAAAAAGAAACACAATATGTGTGAAATAGATACACATGCATGTATGAATATCGGAATGATGTAAAACACGTTTGCTGTTTGGTTAGTAGTTTTTTGCTTATGGTTATGTTGTTTTACGGTTGTAATTGTGTTTCTTGGGCGGCGTGCGAGTGGAGTGCCGCATCGTTGCCACATCGTTTCTGTCATGCTAAAAGAATTACAGGTGAAAGCATACAATGAACTCTATGCAGAATCTCTCGTTCGAAAGCTATTTCAAGTTATTCTCGATCCTCCTCTTGAAATTCGTAGACATACATATTCTTCTGAAATGGGTATGCTGTTTTTTCAAATTGCATATTGATGCTTTCCCTATTTCATAAAATTAAAATAAGTCGCGACCGGCATTTAGTACAAAGGTTCGTGATTCCCAAGTTTTTTTTTGTTGAAAACGTAGATTTAACCTAATAGTTCAAAGGTCGTGCACTTATCAAAGAGGCATTGCCAATGCTAAATCAAATAACCTAATATAAAGCTTTTAAAAATAGATGTTAATAAAATATCTCGTATTAAATTTTTCAACTCGCATATAATTCAATTTAAAAAGTATTAAATACAAAAGTTCATCTATGCATAATTAATGAATTTCGATGTAAAACGATTCGAAACGGGTAGTCGAATAGTTAGCTGAATTCGCAATGAATGCGCACGTTTGATGAATAAAGAAGTTTAGTACGTGATTTGAGATGGTGCAGTTTTTTATGTTTTGTTCATGGTCTGAATATGTGTTGTCGAGTGAGGTGGTTCCCACGTCGAAGAAGAGTGCGAGGCACCGACAGAATCACGCGACTGTCTGTTGAGTCGGAAAAGGACAGTATCCATGAATACACCGTGCACCGTGCACCGTGCACCGCGTTTGACCTTCGTACCACAAGAGAGGAATCCTACTTTCATGTCTTAGATAGAGAGGAGGGCTTCTAGCCACTATCCCACTGCCGCAGAATTCTCATGACGCAAGTATCCGATGTATATGCCGAATATGTTTAACATTCTTTCTTTTCAATTGCAGCGAGATGTCTTCCCGGCTGTAGCGATAAACATGGACACTGCACTAAACCCAACGAATGCATGTAAGTTGAAATTACATTTTTTTAGAATTCTAACAACAAACAATATATTATATTTTGATCCTTCGACTGGTGCGATATCAAATGAACACAAATTATATCAAATGAACATGAAAAATAATAAAAAGGGGAAAATACTTAGAAATCAATAATTCAATTATCATTCACTAATCCTTTTTTCTGCTAATTTTATTTAACAGCATAATTTATCAAAAAGCATTAGCATGTGTAAGATTAATTCATTTCTGTTGTGAGTGAATGAAAATAAGCCTATTAGATTTATAGTATATGCTGCACTGAGATAGAACAATTGCTCCTGATCACTTTCACTCAAATAGGATCATATTACTTGCTAGCTTTTAGTAATAAACGCAAAACAATCTCTTTCGAATATAATACATAATCGAAAAGTCATTTTTTCACGAATTCTTTCTCACAAATAAATAATACAAACGTAATTTTTATATAACGAGTAATATATTAGATATTAGCAGCTTTTAGTACGAAGTTATTTGGTCTTTCAAAATCTTGAGTTTCTAATAAAATGGACCACATATTCATAATATAAACATATTAATTTCTTGATTGGGTTATAAATATGTATGAAATTGTGCTATGCGTTTGGTTTGATAATTAGTTGATTGATTTTAGTGTGATAACTAGTTATTTTATTTATTATACATCATAACACGTTCTATAACTTTGTTCTTATTCCAGATGTCACAGTGGCTGGAAAGGTCGTTTCTGTGACGAGTGTGAAAGATATCCAGGCTGCGTTCACGGAACGTGCAGCAAGCAATGGGACTGCCTCTGTGATGAAGGCTGGGGTGGTTTGTTCTGTAATCAAGATCTGAACTATTGCACGAACCACAAACCATGCAGGAATGGAGGAACTTGCTTCAACACTGGACAAGGCTCTTACACGTGTCGATGTCGACCCGGATTTGTAGGTACGGATTGCGACCGCCAAATCGATGACTGCGCTTCGAAGCCGTGCCAAAATGGAGGACAATGTCGTGCTTCCCAAAACGGCAGTTACCAATGTGAATGCCGCGCTGGATGGACCGGTGATTATTGTCAAAAAGCAAAACGCACGTGCGCAGATTCGCCTTGCAAACATGGATCAACGTGCACGGATACATCGGAGGGCTACAAATGTTCTTGTCCCATCGGTAGAGATGGTACCGACTGCGAATTTGTTTTACCAGTGTCGTGTAATTGTTTGAACGGTGGCAGTTGCCGGCAGGGCACTCAAGCTTGTGATTGTTTGCAAGGATTCACTGGCGAAAGATGTGAAATAAACTCTGACGACTGTGTTAGCTCTCCGTGCTTGAACGGCGGTACCTGCCAAGATTTGGTAGGAGACTTTCGTTGTCAATGTGTTCCGGGATTTATTGGACATTTGTGTGAAACTCGAGTGGATTTATGTCTGACCAAGCCGTGTGCCAACGGTGGTATTTGCACTAATATGGACAATGATTATCGTTGTATGTGTCGGGCAGGATTCACGGGACGAGACTGTAGTATTGACATCGATGAATGCCGGTCGGCTCCGTGCCGGAATGGCGGCACGTGTGTTAACCGGGTAGACAGCTTTCAATGCGTGTGTCCATCTGGTTTCAAAGGATTACAATGCGAGAAGTCTCTGGTCGTTGGACTATCGGCATTATCGGACGTATCGGTAGAAGCCCCGCAGCAGGCGTCTATATCAGGAGATCTGACGTTATATCACGGGGTGTTGATCGCCGCTATATCATGTGTGGTGCCTCTGTTGGCCTTACTAGCAGCGATTGTATTGTTTTGCCACAAACGGAAGAGACGTCGGGATGAGGCGCGGGCTGACATGGAGGCTCGCGAACAAAACGAGCGCAATCATGATCATGCACTTATGGATGCTCATTGTGTTATTCGCAACACATGGAGTGGCAAATTCATAAACACTTCTGCTGCAAACACGTCTAATGTTAGTACGATAAGCAGCATAAGTGGGAATTCTAATATACTTTCTGATGGTTGTATGATTAATAGTGTTCAAAAACAACTTAATACTGACACAGCTCATATAAGTCAACTTAAAGACACTCGATGGTCATTTCCGGCGGCATCGCCTCTATGTGTTTAGTTTGTTTTAATAGATACTATTGTATGTAAAACTTTAGCTTGTAGGGTAGTTTGTACAGTTTATTTATTTACCCTGACAAGTGATGCATTTCCCTGTAATTTATTTGCATGTTTGCCCTTTCCTTCTCCTGTTATGCTCCATAAGAACCATGACAATTTGAATGGATGTATGAGTCTTTTATATAATGGCACATTGAGAATGTGAGAGTATATAATAAGTAATGTTTAATTTGTGATTAAAACGAAACTAAGTCAAAATCTCAATGATGTTGATACGTGCCCATGACGTTTTCAATTTATAATTTAATATTAGATAGTGTTAATTGTAAATCTTACTGAACCAATCAAGATACTTATTTTTTGACTAATGACTGATCTGACGATAGTCAAGCCTAGTTTATCTCACATTTTCTACTAAACAATTATGATAATGGGAGATGTGACTATGCATATTTTGTTGTGATTTAAAGCAAACAAATGCATTAATGTTCCTGTTAATTATATACTAAGTCATTTGTAGAATGCTATTTGTTTCAAACAATCCCATTTGCGATTGTGTGAAACATGTATCATCTACTATTGTTGTTTTTTGTACTTGATAGTTTTTTCCTTGACAATAGTCATTGAAGTTTTTATAAAAGACTAAATAGATAAATAAATTCGTGTCAAAAAGACTATTTTTTGTAAAATATTGTGTATATTTATAAGAATAAGAAACTGTATTATAATGTAAATATTTATTAAATTACCTGCTATTATATTATAAAATATTGTTCACAAACCAATTTTTTGAAAATATAAATTAACAACGTTGTTCAATATTACTTATTTCTATTCTTTTGAATAATTTTAAGACATAATTATATTTCAGGTTTTACCGTATATAAATTTTGTAACACGAGTTAAAAGTAAATACGCCTAATTATCTACTGTACTTTCGGTACTCCGAAGATCGCACCAAAATAAGTTACTTGACATTATAGGGTGTGGTGTAAATGCCAAATATTTTCTTCGTGGTCTTTAAATAGCCGCAACTATAGATAATCTCGACAAATTACTGGGTCATACATATTATACATAGCAATGCAAAATAACAAATTATCTAGTATACGATTCCACGGGTTCAACATTAAAAATTACTAATTCAAATTATAGTTAGATTTTTATATAGGTCGAAGAATGCCAATTAACATCGGCTTGCTAATTCTAAATATATTACGATTGCTAGGTCAAAAATCCGAAGGTTTAAGCATAGAAGATGCATCGCGTTTCGACTAACGAATTTATAATTTAAAAAAATTTTTGATATGTTAACGGTCTCATAATCAGGTAAATCATATTTAGCCAATAAAATGGCATAATGCAAGTTGTATATATAACAAAGGATAACAAATGTTTGATAATCATTGTGATATGATACTAAAGTATGTGTACTACAAGAAGTAGTACACATACAATTGTATGTATGTACAATCCTATATTTTTTAATTTTTTGATACAATAATATCAAATATTTGAATATCTAACGATCTTATAAGGTATACTGAAAGAACGGTTCGCAAATATCGCTCCGAGGCCATCGAAGCAAGCGCCAAAGGCGGAGCTTTTATGCACTGTGTAACGAATATTTTGACAGTTCCTTGTGTGTTGTATGTAAATAAGTTATTTATTTTGTCAAAAAAACTAATTTTTAGAAAAACTATGGATGTAAAGAAAAAAGCATATTACAATTGTTCAGTTAATTATTGTAAGAATACAACAGTCAATTCTAATTACGAATTTTATTCTTTTCCCACGAATAATCCACTGTTTCCTTTTAAAGTGGTTAGACGCCAGGCGTGGTTAGATGCATTAAAAAAAAAGGAGTGAGTACATTAATTAGATAATTATTAATTTATTCAATTATTTTTCAGTTTATTTTCTGATGTTTACAAATTAAATTTATATTAATAAATAATTACAAAAGGGAAGATGGATCACCCTGGACACCACGTCGTCATAATCGCATTTGCGGCATGCATTTTGTTGGAGGTAAGAAATCGGATCATCCTGAAAGCCCCAGTTACAACCCAACAATTTTTAAAAACTCATCTAGAATAAAAACTGATTCAAAAACTGCAGTTGATAGGTAAAATTGTTATGTATTATTTATTTTTATTATTATTATTTTCTATTTATTTATTTATTTATATTTATAATTTTGAACTTAAAATCTAGATTTCAAAGAAGGTTGAGTCGAACCCTTGTCAAAGAAAGTATTTCTCAAAACATAGAAGGGCTGAAGAAGAAAAAAATGTGTTCTAGGTCTATATTTCCAGTCAATGAAACAATTGAAAACATGGAAAATGCTGAAAATGTTAATTTGATTGATATTGGAACTCAAGTTGATTTTTCAAGTGATGATAATGATTCTGATGGTCAAGATACTGGAAGGAAAGGTAGTGAATCATTTATATGTAGATATTATTCAAATGATTGTAGCAATGTTGAAATTCAAGTATCTCGTCCAAAAATTAATATGCAGAAGAAGAAAAAAGTTGTGATACCAGACACAAATGATCATAAAACAAACAAATCTGGATTTTATGGATATTCTTCAATAAGAGAGGCCTCAGAGCTTAATGATCTTGCAGGTGTTAAACTTGAAACCTTTCAAGTTTTATTAAATATTATGAAGAGAAAACAAGTTGATGACAGTATAAAAATACCATCAGAAGATCAGCTGTTCATTTTCCTAATGAAAATGAGATGTGGACTCACGTTTACTGCTATGGGTGTATTACTTAACCTTCATAGAACAACAATATCAAAGGTTTTTTATGATACTCTAATGTACTTAGCCGGTGCATGCGAGAAGTTTATAATTTGGCCATCAAAGGAAACAGTACAGGCAACTATGCCCATTGCATTTAAAAACTCATACAAAGATTGTAGAGCTATTATTGATTGTACTGAATTTTATGTAGGACAATCTAAGATTGAACACCAAGTTAAATTTTATTCAAATGACAAAAAAAGATTTAGGATAAAAATTCTTGTTTGTTGTACACCATCAGGATACATTTCATATGTTTCACATTGTTATGGTGCTAGAGCAACGAATTGCCAAATAGCAAGTATATGTGGTTTTCTAGATCTACTTGAACCTGGAGATCAAGTCCTTGCAGATAAAGAGTTTCCTCAAGTTAAAACACAACTAGTTGAAAGCGGAAGAGGAGTTTTAGTTGTAATGCCACCATTTCTGCATGACACATTCTCTGAAGAACAGGTAGAAGAAACTTATAAAGTTGCTAGAATTCATATTGAGAGAGTGATAGAAAGAATTCATGCTTACAAAATAGTTGATAAGTTTACTATCGATATGTTACCTTACTGTGATGCAATTATATTTATGTGCTGTGTTCTAGTAAATCTACAATCACAAATACTTAAAGATATTTAGTTAGCAATAGTAAGAATTTCAACTTATATAATCAGTTTTAATAAACTATAATCATAATAATATATGTAAATATTTAATAGCACAAGTTTAACTATCTTCTACCCTTTGGTAGATTGAACATAAATATCACAGATACTTGTACCAGGTGCATACATTAACACTTGGCATTGAGTATAATAAATATATGGTTAACCTTTATACATACTTAAATAGCCAACATTAAAATTTCCAATATTTTCATCAATGATAGAGGTCTGGCATGTTGAAGGGCATTTAATTTCTAAAATTTTTATGAGTTTGTTATTTTTAGGGCATTTAATAACTAAATTTTCTATACTAGCGTATAACTAAGAATATATTGGCTGTACTAACAATTTTATTGATCTCACGTCAAGAGAAAATTGTATTGAATATTTGGCCATTGCTTCTTTTTTCATTTTTTAATCCATATTTCATAGATTTAATTAATTAGATTAGCAATTAACTTCAGATTGATTAGATCATGAGCCAAAGTTTCAAAAATTCTTTTTCTCCTAGTTTTAATACTATGTGGTTTTGAAGATGCACTTAATCTAATATGACGAGCTGAAAACTACTCTGAATTTTTACTTTGGGGTCTATTGTTTTTAAACATAACTTAACAATTTGTAACTGTAACAGTAGTAATCTTACAGTTAGTAATCAGTAAATATAATATCACAGATATTTAATACTGGCCCTGCCTGAAAATTTTAAGTAAAAGTTTGATTCATATTTTCAGTCTTTCTCTCAAATATTCTCTTAATGAGCAGCTATTTAAGTTGTGGTCTCAGTCTCATATATAAGAATAGTGCAAAAAGGGCAGTTTATCTCTGATACATCATTAAATTGCACATTATAAACTGGTCCATATTTTCTAGTGGTTGGAAATCATCAGCAGTTGCAAGAGGTTTTGAATACATTTCTATTCCCAGCTGAGCATCAGAAGGCTTTACCCAGCTTTGCCCCCTTAATGTTTTCGACTCACTCATGTAGTTGTTTATATAATAAATTACAGCATAAATGTGTTTACAATTAGCAACAGCTTGAGATACACAAGTACGTGTTCTGTGAATGACATGTCTATTGTTACCGAACTAAAAAATTAAAAATTAAAATTTATTGAAGCGAGTAAATATGCTTAACACTTACAAAGAACCTTTGTGAATGACATATCTCTAATCTTACTTCATAAGGAACACTGGTAACATTTGCTTGCCTTATAACCACATTTGTTATTTTTGTTAAAAAATTTAGTTCACTACTCTCTTCGGCCCTTTTAACTTTTGTTACAGGTAAGTTTTTGCCATTAATTACTTTTTGAGAATTAAATTTTGTAGAGTGTGTAATCTTTTTAAATCTTGTTAGCGAAATTCGAATCATTATCACAGGCGGTAATGGACTACACGATCAAATTTATATTTTCCGTGGGTGTTTTTGACTATGCTTTGGTACTAATGTATAAAAGTAACGTATTTGTTCTTAATCAATTCCTGCAGGAAGCGAAAAAAAATATTTTTTTTAAATAATCATGATTATTTAAAAATTTTTTTCGCTCACTTGTTCGATTTATATTTGAATATTCGTCACAAAGTGCTAAATATGACCATGGGCGGCGCTGCGCGCGGTTGCTCTCAATATTCGCTTTTTCCATCAGTATCTCTATATTCGTGCATCAATAATTATACATGACAAACGTATATATATATATATATATATATATATATATATATATATATATATATAATCTCTTTTTATAATAAAATATATCATTTATTTTAATTTTACAATTTTTTTTTTAATTTTCATATTTCGACGTTTTATCAATTTTTTATTTCATATTTATTTTTTTCGTGCAATTTTATGTGTTTTTGTGTTATTTTTCAAAGTTTATTTGTATGGTGAGTTTCTTTACATTTGTTTATTTTATGGTTGTTTTTCATATATACTTTTCATATACATTGTTTTACTTATTTTTGTCTGTTATTTATGTATTTTTTATATTGTTTTAATTTGTAACCCTGAATTATTTAATTGTAGCACTGAAGATGGGTCAAATCAAGACCCGAAACGTATGTTTTCTAAATAAAAACATTTTTCATTAAAACTGTTTTTTAATTACTGGATGGATGCCCAAGAAACAATTTTATTATATATATATATATATATATATAATAATGTACTATATAAGTATATATATAATATAGTATATAATAATACACTATATTATGTATAATTCTGTTTTTTCAGTAACCTTTTCTTATAAAGGTAAGGTAGGTATTTTTTATGTAACCTTTTATTATTATCTTATTCTTTATCTAACTAGGATTGATTTTTTATACAAAACAAAATAAACATAATTGAAATAAAGGCATATATATAACCTTTTTGCACATCGAATTTGAATTTGCCTACTGATCTTAAATTATTTTGCAATTTATTGTGCAAAATATAGTATAAACCATTAAAAAAAAGTTTCGAACCTAACATCTTCTCTTGCAGTAGTTGTGCTGTACTTCTATTTAGAAAATACTCATGTAACCGATTAGCAAACGATCGGCCAAGTAGAAAAAATACAAATTAAATACATAATCAGTTTGACAACCAACCCCAGTACAAGTTCAACAAATGGTTGCTGTTAAATTAAAGCAGTTTATGTGCTAAATTGAATATTTGCGCGTTATAGATGTCAAAAATGTATTTCTCCTCCGTCTATATTTATATATTTATTATCAAACCGACATACACTATATAGTTGAAAAATAGAGAAGAAAACATAAGGCTACACGATCGTTCGAACGTTATATAGATTATGTCAAAATCAAAACTTTGAAGGTGCTTTAGTGCAAAATAAGCTTTTTGCCGATAGGATTGATTTCAAAGCGACAAAATATATTTTATGCAAAACTCACCTATCCCGAAATCCTTCTGATGCTCAGTATGTATATATTATCATCATACGCCGAAAAAAGCCGATCATGTCAATGTTCAAACTTGTTCAGATAATTCACTTTTGACATAACACATTATTTATATATATTTTTATGTTAATTATATATTTTAAAACATATCTCACATTGAACAAATATAATTCGGATAACTTTGCACTTAACAGAAAATCGTTGCTTACATATTCCCGTTCAAGAACTACGTGAATCCACAAAATATTTAACAATCACCCATTTCTTCTAAGTTTTATATCAACTAGGCTACGCAATGATCCTATTGGATATGTTGGTAACGTTGTTATTCGTGCGTCGTTATCCAACATTGGCGATAAAAAATTAATTCAACTTGTAATGTTTGTGGAAGATTAACTGTCTCTAATTAGTATTTGGAATATAATTTGGAATAGAATTTATTTTCCAAAATAATTTTGTATCGTAATAAAGATTATTTCGGGCGAATTAAGTTCCTTCGTGTTCTTTGATCTTTCCGGTTTGCGTCAGTTCAACGAGCGCATTGATTGGTTAAACATTCGGCTTTAGTTCAAGTTCGTCCTCAAAAGTTTGTGTTCTACTAAAAGTGATCTAAATTGTGCTAATAATTGTGATTTTGTGCAAGATAAGTTTCTAAGGTATGAAGTCTCGATTCACGGCAAAATACTATAATCGTAAGTAATATTAATAATAAAATTTGTTGCTTTTAGGTTATAGCTATATGCTTTCTATAATCCGCGAGAAATTTGATTTACTTTATGAAAGCAATTTGAAATATATTCAAGAATATTATACTATCTGATTACCAAAAACCAAAACATTTTACCAAATTTCTTTCAACTAAACACTTTATGTTCCATACTTCAATTATAGAGTATCTATTGTTAGTAGCTTGTGGCTTGTAGGAATGCATATTTTTACATACATACAAAACTTCTAGCAATATGTAATAATTAATGTCACTATTGGATTACTGAATTGTCATTGTTTTTCAATTGATGTGAAAAAGAATGACTTCATCAGATTCCTATAGTTATGAACTTTTAACTTAACTCTATTCAGTAAAAAATGCTCTTAATAAACATACAAATAAGCATTCATTTAGTTGTCAACATAGAGAATAAAAGCTGACAATAGCTCATAACTATAATAACTGCAGTTATCAACCAAATATTTCGATTATTATCTAATATGCTGTAACTCTATCCATTATAATGTAAATGTATTTGAATTTGATGAAGAAAGTCAGTGGAGTGGGTCTATGATCAATTATTTTAACGATGTATGATATTATAATGACACAATTGAAAATGGAATAAAATTCATACTATAAAATTTATCCTAAAAATAAATCTTATAACTAATATAAAAAAAACACGAAATCTATACGGCAACATATATTAAGATTACAATAATTGATTAATACATATAATACTCTTATTTACATTTATATTTATCGTTCAACATCATTATAATAGGCCAACATAGAAATATTTAGAGAATTATATATTTTTTCATCTGTACTTAATGTCCAAAAATAAAATGTCGATGAGGACACATTAAGTACCACAGATGGACAATTTAATTACAAGATTGCAGAACTCAATTCTAATTAAGTAACTGGCCTTATCTAGAATATTTACCTGAACATATAACCAAACTATCCAACCGAATCCTACGTTAAATCAACTATTTTAACTACAGTAATGACAACTATGTTGAGAGAGTAAAACTGATCGTAAATTATGTCGTAATATAAATAACTTTATTTTTGTACTATAACAAAATGTGAGATTTTGATAACAGGATTATTATAATATGGAGAATGCGGTTTATTTTAATTTATCTAATTTTATTCAAATCCTGAATACATAAGGATTTTTATTTTTGAACTTTATGCTACACACACCAACATATATATATATATATATATATATATATATATCATGTTACATATGTATATATATAATATCATCAAACATAATCAATTATTGTTATCCTTCGTAACATAACATGGCTATCTTAATTTCAATTTTGCAACTGCAAGGAAAATAAGTTTAATGATAATTATAAAAACAGTGTGAATGTGTTGGATACATAATGGCACTCAACATTTTATGATAAATCCTGAAAGGCACGGATGGTGCAGCATTATCATTACATTTGGCACATAACACTATTGAGATTCTTACTTTAATCATGTATCTATACAATACAAGCTCTGCAATACTTTTATGCTTTGCAAGTCTTATGGGTATACGCATACACAATACATAATGCAGTGGTATTATTTATACATGCACACACACAGAAATGTATATATATAGTATGTGTGTATGATTTTGATATATGCATATACACATAAAAATGAGTACACAATCATTTATTCACACAAACAACCAATCACATACACATAGCATGATTAACTGACTATGCGATGCATGCTATACATATTAATTGTTTTACATGGTCGTATTGAAAACAATATATAAATATAAAGTCAAGCATATTTTGAATATTACTTGCTCAAAAATGTAATTTATTACAAATTTATGCAAGAAAATTCATCAAATAAACACAATTCTTAAATAATTAAATGTCTAATAAAAAAAATACAAAATAATATAATTGCCTTAAATATAATATAAATCTGATTTGATTGTGTCAAATATAGTTTCTTAATTGAGCACTTTCTCATAAAATAAACTTATAGTTTTGTGATATTGCTGATCATCTTTAACAACATTAAAGTAACACAAAATAGCAAGATCTCAAATAAATTTAATCATATATATATATAAGATGATTTAAACAACAGTGAGTTCACACAGTAAAATAATTTCAAATTCTAAACATTTAGCTGAGATTCTTTGCTATGAATTCCCTAATATGAGTACGGTTACTTTGATAAGTTATTTGTACATAAACCTAAAACTAAAAAATATATTTGCGTTAAAATGATAAAGTAATTTTTTTTGAGTATTGCACAGCGATGAGTCATACTAGCAAAAAATTGATCAATATTCTAAAAATCATTGCTTCTACTTTGAATAATAGCTATAGCTTTAAATAAGTATTTCAATAAAACCTAACATCATCATATTTATCACACATTCAAATATGAAGAATTGCAACTATGTATATATATATATATATATATATATATATATATATATATATATATATATATTTATAAATTTCATAAAAAAAAATAATATTAGTATTACAACATTTCTCTAATGTTGTTGTAATGCAGTCAAATTTTAACAAATTATCTCTATTATAATAATGTAATACTCAATGTATAAGTAGGAGCTATGTAAATATATCTGCACACAATCTGTCGATTATGTGGACATCTTCATATGCATATGTAAAAATACATGTATATGTGTTTGTACATACATATACATATATGTACATATGCATATATACATGCCATGTATACATATTTGCATACACATATACATATTCTTATGTATATGCATACACTTACACAAGATGTATCAATGATTATAATTTATAAATAACTTTGAGTGTATATAGATATTAGCATATGTACACATGTTTGTAGACATATGTATATATGTACAGTATCAGTAAGGCACATGAGAAGTGGATTAGGCACTGTGGGTTATGAAAGCGATTAATGTTAGTTAGAGAGTTGAGGACCTACCCCCTGGCGACGACATGTTAGTGTAGTCCGGAGTGTGCGTGCAGGACGTTGTTGGTTAACACGGTTCGTGACACGGCCAGACACGGTGATAAGTTAGCACTCCGACAAGCCTACCAGGCAACCGGGTTAACAAGAAAGAAAGAAAACAGATTGTTAGTACTGACAACTTGAAGTTACTCATTTATTCTGTTGATCAATCACTCATTCATTTATTCGCAAAAGAATACTTAATAACAATAGCCCTCATACATACATTTATTGCTTCTATCGCTAGGTCTTAATATCAGATATAGATAATGGTTTTTATTAGAAAATGACTATAGGTTGTTACATGAAATATGTACCATGTTATTTGATGTTATATAAAGCATAAACTATTTCAATGCATATATATATATATATATATATATATATATATATATAAATTTAAATTTATAATTATATTCATTGATTATATATATAATCACTTTTTGAATCGTATCACTTTTCTTTGAAATTTAATTTACTACAGAGGCAAATAACATACAACATGTAACAAGTCATATGTCATAAAACGGTTTTATATATGAGCATATATTCGCTATGACATGAAATATCACAATCCTACATTTAACTTCCAAAAAATTGAAGTCATCTTATGTAATTCAGAATATGACTTGAATATTAAAATTAAAATATGAATCAGAATTATTTGTATTTATAATTCAATGAACATATAACTGAAATAAATTGTCGAATTAAAATTCAAGAGAAATCTAACATGTAAAATGAGATTAATAAAGGCTACTTAGCAATATCAGCAAATTAGTGTTACATATATTATAAAATGTGATAATTTGCGCTGCAGCTAAATGTATGTTGAGGTAGCTGCACAAACCTTCATCTAAACTAAATGTAGCAGCCCCTCAATAATACTGATTAAAAATAATTTGTTGACTCTCGTACTTAGATCATGCAACTATTAGTACTTTTATACAATGATTTGATAGCAAAAAGTCTATGCTCAAATAAATACATTAAGTAATACTGACACCAAATCAGTGATGATTCGGATCAAATTTCCACCTAAATTAAATGTATTAATGAAATTGTCGACGAATGGATAAAGATAGAGAGCTAGAAATGTTTAATTATCACGGAGGCAACTAACCTTTTATATGAAAGGAGAAAGAAGAAGCATTATGAAAGTGCCCCTGCCCTCTGATAAGGATGCTCGCGCTGCCCAAGGTGCCTGCGCTGTTTGGATGCGGCGCTCACTCCTATTACATAAATCGTTAAAAATTATGGATTCTATTCAACAGCTGTTTAAGCTTCTCAACTCATTTACTCAATTATAACTTAGTAATGAATGAACCACGTTATCTATGATTAAATTTATATACCACCAACATAAAGCACACTATTATTTTATATAGAAACGCACACACACACACACATGTATATATATATATATATATATATATATATACATATACATATACATATATATAAGATGTGTGTGTGTGTGTATATATATATATATATATATATATATATATATTATAATATGTATATGCATAATAAAATACATATAAATATCACATAATGTATAAAAATCGTAATATTAAAATAAACCTATGAGTAAATTTTAGTAATTCTGGCAAATAGAGTAAACACATAACATTATACCATATAACCATGTTAAAATTAATCTATAATAGATTCATTGAACATGAAAGAAGTTTTTAAGCACTTCAGTTTCTTATACATGATATATGTACCAACGCACATCAATTACAACTTAAACTCGTATTGTGTATTGGAATGGTGTCCAACGGCCTCTGCAGGCACAGGATTTCAGGAGCGCTCTAGATCCGCGTCGTATGTCCACGGAACAGGACAAACTTCAAACGACCAAGGACGTGGAAACAACATTCGCAATTTTACAAGCATATTATCTCCACCTTCAAATATCCAGAAACATATACTAAGTACTCGTTATCTTTATGACTTTAAATACTTGCTCACTATTAATAATGACTGAATTAAGTTTTGAAAGCCATTTTATATTTTAGCACATAATATACGAAATGCTAAGTATTTCATTGATTTCTATATCATTTAAGATATACCCCAAAAACCAGTTATTAGTTGATTCGGTCAATTGTTAAATTAAGCGCTCCTTGCTGTGCATTGTTAAACCTGAAGCTTTTAAATCAATTTCAAATTTATTCATTCATATAAATTGTGAAGTTTCACTAATTAAATAATAAATCTCGAATTATTCATTCAACAAAGACGAGCAAAATTTTAAATAGAAGCAAACAGAATTAAATAGCAAATGGTTTATGCTGGGTCATTGTTTATAGTTGTGAGTTGGTCATATATCATTCTAAATAAACATGCAAAAATGTTACGTGCTTTATTCTTAATCTGTGATAAATGGTAAAATTTGAAATGTTTGAATACTAGATGAAGCAATTGTACCATACTGTTAATTTTGGGCGTAGGTAATATATAAATTATTGGTGATATATTGAGTACCATAGAAGCAATTATTTTTATAGCTCAAACTCATTCTTGTGCAATATGGAAAACGTACATTGCAGAGAATGAATACTTTAGAAAATATGGAATGTATGCTGTAGCTTTATAATCAGTCAATATATTACTACGTTGCGATAACATGTTTTACTGTTTGTTCAATATAATATACTATACAAATTTATTTATGGAAATAAATTGTGACAAGCTCGGACTAGATAAATAATTCATATTGCAAAAATATCTTACTGACGAAAATACTATGACATTTTTTCAAAATACAAACTAAAATTGAGTAAAGATATTGGATAAATAAATTCATTGTATGCATATAACAAAAATCTAAGAATAAATTAAAGTTTTCTGTATATATATATATATATATATATATATATATATATATATGTATATGATGTATAATATGACTCAATCATTTCATAAATAATTCTTGGAAGTAAGCTTTCCTACTTGAATGAACCTTTTGCTCATTGAATTTGAATTGATTATTTTTTTCAAATGTGGCACAAATATTGTAAAGTAGATATATTATATATATATATCGGTCAAAATTGATTTGTGCCACTACTTTTTCAAAAGTAGTAATGTGATGCACATTTTTTTAAATTTTAAATATATATGGAATATATTATATATACGCAAGCTTACTCTTATCACATCAAGTACAAACCAAGGATATATACACATATAATATACATAGCACACATATATATTGCGTATATATTGTGTTTCTGGCGCGATCAACGAGCGAACAACCCACCGGAGTGATCGGCCGCAGCATATTCAGCCGTAAGGAGCGGGTTGGCAGCGGCCAGCGCCGCATAATTGGCTGCATAATCGGCGTATGGCGATGCGGCATAGATTAGTCCTGCATGATGTGGATCCATTGAACCAGGTGGCGCCGAGCCGTTAAGCAACGAAGCAGCGGTGGTAGGAACCGACATCCGCGGTGACAGGATTAGTGGCGCGCCTAGGGGAGCAGCGGGAGCGCGCAGTGGCGCAGCCATACCAGGCATAGCAGGCGATAGCAAGCGCTGCGTTTCGGCCGCCACGCGACGCCATTCTTCGTCGCATGCTGCTGTGTGTACATTGAAATCGTTAATGAAGTGGTATATATCGTGAAAAAGTGGCAGAACGTTACAAATCCTGCTGTTAATTTGAGTTTTTCACTATTATCTACTATTTTCACTAAAAGCTCCTACAACGTCCTTCACAAATATAAAAATGTACATAGATATATAACTGAAGTAAACTAAAGTATAAAAACATAAACATTGTTAACAGTCAAGTTACAAAGAGATTACAAAGAGAAAAATACTTGTTATACATGTTTTGAAAACAGCATTTATACGCAGATTTCAAATAGTTAATAATTCGAGATCTGAAGCGGCATGACGTTGAACAATCATTTGAAAAACAATTCTGATTATCACATAAATGTACTATACCTATAGGATAACTTGCAACCGCATTTTATAACTATTTGAAATACAAATGATATGAATTGCGTGTTGTGTATAATACTGTTCAATTTGAATAAACGCGGAACACGCTCATGTACAAGTCAGAAACAAACAAAGCACTTTATTTAGAAACTCCCATTGTCTCATGATATTCAAAATGCTGATAATTAATTGGTATTTTTAAGGAAACGTGTATATTCAATAGTCTAAATAACAGTATTGCACAAACGCAATAGCAAACGTAGAAATTACTAGCTTTAACGAAATTACTGAAAACTGTCTCAATATAAACATGATTTAACCCTTTTAAGTCGAATCAAATTTGGAGATGGGTATCGTAGTATTCGCAAATATTTTCCGTGGAAAATTTAGGATTTGTAAACAAGATTTAAAAACTGTTTTGTGAACTTTAGATATAAATATATTTTTATTCAATACATTTGTCTAGTGATGTTTTTGTATAAAAATGGTATGTTTTATAATTACTATATGCTTTATGAATGCATACAGTACACGATTCAAATAGTAACTTTCCTTGGTGGCTGAGAGTAGACATACGACCGGAATGGTAAAAAGGCTTTAGTGGCTGAGAGTGAACAAACGACCGAAAAGGGTTAAATGACGTCTTGTAGACGTGATTGTGTGTTAAAGAGTTAGAGGAGCGGAGAATATAGCTTAATATTAAGGAAATTAATTTTTGTTTTTACTAAAAATGGCGCATGTTTCATATTGATGCGCAGTCCTACCAGCAGCAGCCACTGCGGCGGCAGCTTTGGCACTTGAGTCTCTATATGTTCCATTGATGATGGCTAGTTCCATCAATTGCCTCTTCTTCAGCTCATCTTCACCATCTGCTTGCTATAGTTTTAAAATAGGCATGAGATAATTAAATTAAAATGCCAGCTAATTCATAATCGATTTGTACTTACTGGCACTAATAATTTCTGCACTTCTTCGACCGCGCGGGCCAATTTAAGTTGTGCCCTGTTTTCTGAATCTTCAACTGTAATTAAGACATGAAGTTCATCTGCTAAATGTTCCCAATTTGGTTTACCTCGATTTGCGTCTTCCTATGAAGGCAGTAGAATATTAATACCATATTTTAGCCAAAACAGTATGTTACATATAACTCTATGTTTGAGCAAGGTTTTCTATATAGTTGATTATATTTCTGAAAAAGTACTTTATTGTAGTAGACATAATACATAAATGATACTTACTGTAACATTTAGTTTTCATCTTTTATCGGAGGAGCGTGTAATAAATAGATGCATATTTGTTAGTGAAACAACGAGATCAAGAAGCGTCAGATCTTTTTAAACTATTTTTAATAAATGGCAATGGCGAGAAGGAGTTAGTTTATTTTAACACTTTATTGACCGGTCACGCGTTAACTCGTGTTTTTATAGCCTGATGTTGCTGACCAAATCACGAATAAAATCGAAATGCGCTTTTTTCGCATCGCTGTGGTTTTCGACTTTGGCGACCATACAGCGCAATAATTGCTAGTTTCTCTCGCTTATAAGACCCGCCAAATCTTTTGGTGTAAAAATATAGAGATATCAATAGCCGTTCAACAAAATGTTAATAATTCTCGAAATTTCACATATTAAATACTAACTAAGATATTTATTGTGATCTGCGCTCGATAAGCCGATTTTTCGTATTAATTACACTTACTTTTTTCTTGTCTCTCATTGAACCTTTTCCTCTGACCATAATTTTACATCCGGTTTCTTGCTCTAGCTGCTTAGCGGTCATACCTCGCGGACCCAATATTCGTCCAACGAAATTGAACTGTAACAATAATGATTTATGAGTGGCTTTATAGTTTTAATCTCTATTCTCTAATACAGATATTGATCAATTTTCGGATGTAGAGAAGAGAAAATCTATGTTTTTTAGATTCGTTTAAAATTTAAGAAGGAAATAGAAATAGTAGTAATATTATAATTAATTATTATAGTAATATTATCAATATAGTAATAATTTATTAAATTAAAATATTTTCTGCAAATAGTATGGAACTGTAAATTGTATATGAAAATAATACTGTTTTATGTCGCTTTATAATAATTTACAAGTTCTGATTTGATTTGATTACTTCAAATAGTTGTTATGAAAATAGCTAATATTGGTTTTTAAATTCTTCAACTTAAAATTTTAACCTTCTACTCCGATAGTGAAATGTTTGTTTTGGCGGGAGCCTTACAAAACTACTTATGCGAGTATTAAGAGAAGTATGTACTAAAATATAGATGAAAAATATGTTAGTTTACTATTTATCGAACTTATTTTCATCCACCGTTATAGTTCTTTTTTAACGGTAAATAAAGTAATTGTAAATAATTTTAAATTAAGGTTATGACAGAAGTAAAGATATCAAGCAATTTCCATTTTCGATTATTTTAAAATATAAATTACAAACTCCACAAGAAGTGATGTACGTGTAACATTAGTGGATATTTAGTCTTGAACTTAATCGATGCGCATAATATTTTTTTTATCACAAACTGGGAATTATCGAACGTTGACAATTAAATTAACAATATCCAATTAAATAAACAATGAATTGAAATCTAGCGAACAATTTTTGAATTTCCATATATTTTATTTTTGCAAAGAAATTGTCCGAGGAAAGAAATGTCCCTTTTTCAGTATCCAAAATAATATAAATGTTAGTTAATTAAGAAGAAAACGGAGCGGCCGATTTGGAATTTTCAAAATAGTCTTATACTTTTATTTCAAAATGAAAAACTTTTAATTTACTAACCTAAACAAACAGTACAAGTAATCATCGGATGTTTGCCAGAAAACGATTATTTTATTCACTTTAAGTTCAAACTATATTCACTATTACTTGAAATGCCTAGAATATATAAAATTATCGTTTTGAATTTTTGGGCGTTAACAAACTTGAGGAAGTCAAGTTATTACAAAACACGATCTACTAAAATTAAAACGGACAAACATAAATAGTACGGATATTTGGGACAAATTCAGTTAGTGTATATCAGTCCCGAAATAAGCTGTTAAATGATAGCCGATCCGTAACTTATGCACTTGGGTCGTGCCAAGCTGATGTAATTAATAAATTAGGTTTGCGGAATTATGCATTAAAGCAAATCTACGGAACTTCCTGTTTTATAGGTAAATGTAAAACGTGCTTCACCTAAAACAAATTATCTTTGCATCTACTAATTTTCGGATCGTCTAAATTTGTTGTGCAGGTTTCTCCAAAATATTGTACATCTTAAGATGCATACGTAAATATATAATCATAAATACATTAATTCCACACGTTTCTTCTAAGTAGTGGTGGGCGTTGAATCAACGAACGGTTATTTTCAACCGTTTCTTCTTCGTTAACTAACTAACCGTTTCGTCGCAACGAAATAACTAGTTGAAAATCAACTGGTTTCGAAGCAGTTGAAAACATGGCGGCCAGTTAGTTTTTTCAACGATATAGGGATTCGTTCGTTGTTGAAAACGAACGTAGGCAGGTACCTGCGTCGGAAAGGATCAACTAATACTATGAAAATCGCTTATTGTTAGGCTACTGCTTTTATAATATTGCAAATGTACATGTACATCTCAAAAGAAACTTGCAACACGCGCCAAATCGTTTAATTTTAGAAAATCAGTTACATTTATTATAGTTTTCAATGGTTAATATTTTTCATAAAAATCTCATAGCATTTGTCTTGTAATAATTTTTTTAAACTAAACCTGAAAATTGATTTTTTATTTTTCATAACATTTTATATAACTATACATTTTTATATTGCTATTTTTATATAACATGTAAATTCGATGTTTTAGTATATGGCTTTGCTGTAATGAAAATATTTAAGTTTTTTAAATTAAACCTTTATTTATTATATATCTTATATATAAAAATGGATCGCAAAATGTGTTGGTAAGCGCATAACTCAACAACGCCTGGACCAATTTGGCCAATTCTTTTTTTTAAATGTTTGTTGAAGTCCAATGATGGTTCTTACGTCGAGAAAAAATGGAATAATTGTCGGGAAAACCCTAAAAACAGCCCTAATCTTTTTCTCATACAAACGTTTTCTAACTAAATCCTAGAATCAATTTGAGCTTTATTGCTATTATATAAAGTTCATATTAAATTACAAACACTCACTGTATACTCCTCCTAAACGATCATTCGGATTTTGATAAATCTTTATAAAGTTTGTTAAGGAAATTTTCTAGGATGTATGTGATTATAAAGTACTAGGATGTATGTGCAATATTATAGCAATAAAAGGAAAAAATTGCAAGAAACGACATGTCATTGTTTGCATTGAAAATAAATGAAAACTATCACCTGCCAAAAATTTCAATTTACTCATGAACCTAGACCATATTAGAATATGTATAATAAATTTATGATTATGAATAAGAAAAATGAAATGTCTACATTATTATGTGCCAAAAAGCAGCTGAGATGTTTCAGAAATTAAAATAATATAAAATGCAGTATATGTATGGCAGATCGAAATATACACATATGAATAAATATGAAAAATTAATTCATTTGAAATATAAAATTAAGTATCAATCAGGGCCGGTCCTACCTTTAATACGATGCATGCAAAAAATACGAACGCACGCTTTGGGGGGCACCTACATAAGATTTGGATATTAAATTTTCAATACTGTTTTATTTTTAAATATATAATTTCTTTGCACCTTCTACTAATCTTTCCACAATATTTTTATAATTCGTACAAATTTACTTTATAACAACAAATAGGAAAGTAAAGATGAATACACACAATTCGGCCCTCACGATATCGATTAGGAGAAGTTTAAGATGCAATTTTGGATATCTTAAATAATAAAAAATTCAATTAATTTAATCCAACATAAAGTACCAGTGTTATGTCATGGTTATCGTTATGTTATACCGTTTAAAAGACTTCAATTTCCAATTTAGTGTGAGAATTGAGACTCATCATTTTATTTAAAGCAGTTCTACATTTAACATCGCTCATATTATAAATGTACATGCATTTTGGCGTGAAGAGTAATTTAAAAAAACAATAATTATTATTTTTAGTTAAACGGTAAATATTAGTATACTATATTGAAAAATTTTAGACATGGGTACAGAACAACGTCTGTCGGGTCATCTAGTATATATATATATATATATATATATATATATGTGTGTGTGTGTGTGTGTGTAATAAATGTGACAATTCACATTTATTTCTTTTTATTCATCAAATCCAACGTCAACTTGACTTTTATAAGAACAAACTTCATATTACCAACTTTCAATGAAACAGTTATTTCAACTATCAGTTTCTTAACGTTGCCAGCGTTGAATCGTTAAAAATAACTACAGTTGAAAAATAACTAGTTATTTAACTAGTTGACGAAACCCCGATAACCGTTTCGTTTCGTTGACGGCAAAACCGTCAACGACCCATCTCTACTTCTAAGGTGTGGCTTAGGTAGAGTCTTCAAACGTAAACGTAATTAAAAATAATATTTTAACTTTTTCCAAATTTAATAACTTGCTTACAAAAAAATTAATACATCTAGATTATGGACAATATAAAATTTATTTATCTACCTGATAATTATTATAATAATGAAGATTTATGTAAAACTAATTCCATGATGAATAATCGTACTATAAACATATATGATATATAAACAGTATCGGAAATGCATTGTTTGGACATATTAATTCAAAAATAGAATAAACGTTATACATACTTAATATAAGATATAAATAGAAACAATGTCGTCAATGAATCATAAATTACCGTATTATATACACGGAAGAATAGTGGAGACCGGGCACGGTTGTACCAGGATATGGTAGTGACAGTTGTCACTTTGTCGTCGTCGTTGATTATGATATAGGGTCCAAAGGGAGAAGAAGAAGTCTGATTGTTCGAATAGTTCATCATTGCTTTCAGTCAGTGCTCTACATTAACATGATTTGTAGAAAGCATTGCTTTTAAAGAGTCAAAAATAAGTTTTCATGTACGAATTCTTTTAATAATAGCTGTTATTTATATACAGATAGAACACTTTGATTGTTATTTTGCTGTAAGTTGAACACTAGTAGTTATTTAACAGCAATTAGTTTTTGCTAGATAATTTAGCTCAGTCATGACGAAGATTGTTTTCAAAAGTGTGCGTGGGGTACGGTTGTGACATGCATTTTTTGTCCTTTTTGGGTCATTCAAAACACAGAACAGATAAAAAAAATTCTAACTTAAGTAAAACAATATACGAAAAAGTAAGGGAGAAGGAAAATTAAATACAAGAAAGAAAAATTTCTTATTAACTTTGTTTAAAAAATGATGTTTTGTTATATGGTATATTGTTATATTATATTCATAAACCATATGGGTATTTATACCTATTGTTTTTTTAACCTATTTTTATGCCTGTTCACACTCCCCGAACGGTTGTGACGCCCTTACGCCCTTTTCTTGTATTATTTGATTTTATGACAAATCCTTCGTATTTAAGGATAGTATTTCATTATTTTCACGTAGACAAATGTTTAAATCACCATTTAATTTACTTTTCTCCGAGCTGAGCATTCTAACTGGTAAATTAGCAAAATTATTGCTGATCAAAAAAGTGGCACAACCTACGGTAAATCAAAAGATAGTTTCCCCTACGGTAAAGCAAAAGATAGTTTTCCCTACGGTAAATCAAAAGATTAGAAAAACTGCAAGGCACCGAAATATTAACTGAACATACATAGTACAGTAGTTTAAGCAATGTGCATTTCCAAATAAAAACGTTTCTATTTT